TTTTTTTCCCCATTACCCCCATGACCCTAAATAACATTTCTATGCAGTCTAAAAAGTTGTTTATAGCATTTCATTGTGTTTTTTCAATACATTTTTGTAAAATGGATTTTCCGTTTCTTTTTTTTCTTTGTCTTTATGATTCCATATTTTTTATATAATTGATATATAATTGATTGTCTGTGGGAGCTTAAAACAACGGTGATCAAAGAAGCAGGAGATATACACCGCTGCGGCAGACATGGCTAAAAGCTCATGTTAGCATTAGCGTTAGCCACAGCGTCCTGTCTGCATCACGGTAAGAAACAGAACATTCACTCACGCTGCTGATAAAGTATTCTGGCAATTGTTTTGTGGGGATTCTGTGTGTTTTATTTGAGGCTTTGTCCCTGAATAAGTTTAGTTGAAACTTGTGACATAGTAGTTGGACTGCGCTCGGATCGGGTCAGAACATCCTGAGATTGTGTTGCAGATTCTGCCTTGTTCTCATTATTGTCAGTGTGAAAAATGTATGTATTGTTCGCGTGTGAGTGTCTTGTGTACAAACTACACGATGTGGCTCCTGTTGTGTTAACGCTGTCTTTGTGCGTGTGGTTTGCGATCTTTACACTTTGCTGCTATGACGCCGGACTTTTGCAAAATTATTTTTCTAAAAGATTGTTGTTCGGATCGTTCTTTTACAAAACTGGGGTCCTCCATGGTTACTTCTTCCAACTTGTGAAGGCACGGTGAAAGCAACTATAAGTGAAACAAAACGCGATTCTCGCATTTTTTTGTCCCTTATCCAACACCGTTTTTCAAGATGGCGCATATTCATGGAAAGCACTCCTCTCTCATGGACACTTATAAGTTAAATTTTAAGCCTATAAATACAATTTAAAACACACGGTGGAGGTAAATATTCTTAAAAAGGTCACATTTGTCATTAGTTTTGCATATGGAGCAGCTGTAAAAATGACACAGGGTGGCTTTAACTATTATTTTAGTAATTTTGGTTTTATAACCTTTTAAAATCCAGATACTAAAATTGACACTTCACTGTGAACACACTGTAGTACTCCACATTTCCCTACAGACACATTTGTGTTGGTCTATTGTCACTCAGTCAATGTAAAATAGACTACAAGTCAGAATATGTAAAACATGTTTGTTGGGATGAATTAAGATAAATTTTTTAAAAGCTGGAGTTACATTTTCAGCTCCAGATGGTGTTTTGTCATCTTTAGTTCAATTCCCTTGGACCAGTGTCATTTCAGCATCGGAACCTCCTCTGATTGAGTTGTGGACCAGAGTTGGCCTGTTATCTGGTCCCATCACGGGGCAGTCACTCGTGAAGTTGTCCGCTGGTTTTGGGTCGATGCTATCGGCCTTCACCTGTCACTCACAGTGGGTCCAGTCACTGTCACAGTCGGGGCTAGTTGCGACTAGTGCTTGTCATTCTGCGGTCTCTGAGAAAACTATCTTCCTAATGAGTATTGCAAAACAGAGAAAGATTCAACACAAACTCTTTCTTCTACAGATTTTAGATATAGTATGTGTTTCCAAACAGCTTCTTTATTTTGTGAAACTTAGATATTTTATACCTAATTTTTGATTCTTAATCATGCTAAAGTAAGATAATTTATACATCATTTTTGCTCCGTTATTATGCTAATGTTTGAGATTGTATTTTATTTTAGTATAGGGTAATCATTCACTTACAGTGCCTTGCGAAAGTATTCGGCCCCCTTGAACCTTTCAACATTTTGCCACATTTCAGGCTTCAAACATAAAGATATAAAATTTTAATTTTTTGTCATGAATCAACAACAAGTGGGACACAATCGTGAAGTGGAACGAAATTTATTGGATAATTTAAGCTTTTTTAACAAATAAAAAACTGAAAAGTGGGGCGTGCAATATTATTCGGCCCCTTTACTTTCAGTGCAGCAAACTCACTCCAGAAGTTCAGTGAGGATATTTGAATGATCCAATGTTGTCCTAAATGACTGATGATGATAAATAGAATGCACCTGTGTGTAATCAAGTCTCCGTATTAAAGGGACTTGCCCTTATAATCTCAGGGTTCTGTTTAAAGCGCAGAGAGAACCATGAAGACAAAGGAACACACCAGGCAGGTCCGAGATACTGTTGTGGAGAAGTTTAAAGCCGGATTTGGATATAAAAAGATTTCCCAAGCTTTAAACATCTAAAGGAGCACTGTGCAAGCAATTATATTGAAATGGAAGGAGTATCAGACCACTGCAAATCTACCAAGACCCGGCCGTCCCTCCAAACTTTAATCTCAAACAAGGAGAAGACTGATCAGAGATGCAGCCAAGAGGCCCATGATCACTCTGGATGAACTGCAGATAACTACAGCTGAGGTGGGAGAGTCTGTCCATAGGACAACAATCAGTCGTGCACTGCACAAATCTGGCCTCTATGGAAGAGTGGCAAGAAGAAAGCCATTTCTCAAAGATATCCATAAAAGTCTCGTTTAAAGTTTGCCACAAGCCACCTGGGAGACACACCAAACATGTGGAAGAAGGTGCTTTGGTCAGATAAAACCAAAATCGAACTTTTTGGCCACAATGCAAAACGGTATGTTTGCCGTAAAAGCAACACAGCTCATCACCCTGAACACACCATCCCCACTGTCAAACATGGTGGTGGCAGCATCATGGTTTGGGCCTGATTTTTTTCAGCAGGGACAGGGAAGATGGCTAAAATTGATGGGAAGATGGATGGAGCCAAATACAGGACCATTCTGGAAGAAAACCTGTTGGAGTCTGCAAAAGACCTGAGACTGGGACGGAGATTTATCTTCCAACAGGACAATGATCCAAAACATAAAGCTACATCTACAATGGAATGGTTCACAAATAGACGTATCCAGGTGTTAGAATGGCCAAGTCAAAGTCTAGACCTGAATCCAATCAAGAATCTGTGGAAAGAGCTGAAGACTGCTGTTCACAAACGCTTTCCATCCAACCTCACTGAGCTTGAGCTGTTTCACAAGGAAGAATGGGAAAGAATTCCAGTCTCTCGATGTACAAAACTGATAGAGACATACCCCAAGCGACTTGCAGCTGTAATTGCAGCAAAAGGTGGCGCTACAAAGTATTAGCGCAAGGGGGCCGAATAATATTGCACGCCCCACTTTTCAGTTTTGTATTTGTTAAAAAAGTTTAAATTATCCAATAAATTTCGTTCCACTTCACGATTGTGTCCCACTTTTTGTTGATTCTTGACAAAAAATTAAATGTTTATATCTTTATGTTTGAAGCCTGAAATGTTGAAAGGTTCAAGGGGGCCAAATACTTTCGCAAGGCACTGTATCTTGTGCTGTGTTCTCCTCATTCCTATTGTTCTGTAACTGGGGGCACAACACTGTAATTACACCACTGTGGGACAAATAAAGGATCTCTCAATCTTAATCGTAAAATGGTAGTATACTTGCCATCGTACAGAAACCAGAGCATTACAGACAATATCAAAATGAGACATTATTGACTTGACGCTCAAACCCATAATGTTACCTGCAGTAAAATACAAACTTGGGAATTATGTGTTTGTTATTTTTACATTTCCTGCGTTTGAACTGTTTCATTCTCGTTTCTTGATTCGTTGAACCTGAATCAACGGTTTTTTAAAGTCCTCCAAGATAACTACTGTTGTGATTTAGCGCTATTCAAAAATACATTGAATTGGATTGAAAATGTTCTGTCCATGAATGATTGTTATTAACCGTTTTCTTCTTCCTGCACCGGGGAGCTTCCTTTGGTCTGGTCCACGATCTCTGATAAATGCTTAAGTGATTGTCTGTGACTTTTGGGTCGGAGTGCAGAAGAACAGGCTGTTATTCCCACTCTCAATTCACAGTCAGAGAGAGAGAAACAGTGAGTGAGTTCTGCTGCCGAAAAAGGCAAGGCGCGCTTTGAACTATCAGAGGTTCATTGTTAGGTGTGGACTGAGACTATACACTTTTATTTTCCCTTACTGCAGGAGGACAGGGACCAGGATGAGTCCTACAGGAGAACATGGACCAGACTCAGTCCTACAGGAGAACATGGACCAGACTCAGTCCTACAGGAGAACACGGACCAGACTCAGTCCTACAGGAGAACACGGACCAGACTCGGTCCTACAGGAGGAGAATCTGTAACCTGTTAGGGCCAATATGAACCAACTTGGACTCTGAGGAGCACAGGGACTGGCCTCTTGCTGGTGCCAAGAGTCAGGACTAAACATGGGGAGGGACAATTTTCAGATTCATGCAGCTAAAACAGTCTTCCTGAAAACTTGAGACAGGCCTCTACTCTGACAATGTTCCAATCCAGGTTAAAAACTGTTCTGATTCGATGCAACAACTGAAGAATTCTGTTCTCACTTACAGTATTTTAATGTGTTGTGTGATTGTTTCTATCTTTTACAAAACACTTTGTGTTCTGTATGAACTGTGCTATACAAATAAACTTTCTGCCCTTGCAAATTTGTGATGCATAATGTAAGAGGTCCAGCGACTGGAAATGAAGAAATTATGGTTTTGTGTTTTTTGTTGCTTTATCAGTCAGACACACACAAAACTGTTTTAGTCTTTGTGAATGATGACGGCCTCCTGGATATGGGAAATCTTTATAATTGTTTTTACCTAAAGCACGTTTTCCGCGACCTCGTCCATCTCTGTTCCGCTTCGAGGATCTTTTCTAGTCACCCACTCTGCAACACAGCGGCAGAGTGGGGAGTACCGATGCCTACAGTAGAGGTGTCAAAGTTATTATTTTTGTGAACTGACATTTGTTTTTGGTTGTCACAAAAGTGTGAATTTATTTATTTGAATCAATATTGACATGATATCATACACCATTTTAAAGCCCAGAACAGAATCCAGTCTAAACAGTTTTACAATCCATATTGTCGGCCCCTGGAAAAGTCTTAGAGAACTCGGCTCTTAGAAGTGTGACTTTGAATAATGTTTCTAGCATTAGCTTCACTTTCTTCTCTCCATCTTCTCTCTTCAGGCCAAAGGGAAGAAGCCGCTCTTTGTGCAGCTCGTGCTCGATAACATATGGAGTTTGTATGAAGCGGTGGTGACCAACAGGTGAGTCACTTTGGCCTCTGCAGATTAATGCCTCATAATAGAGCCCATCTTCTCAAAAGCTTTTGTAAGGAATCCACAGCAACCACACAGCCTTTCTGCTCTGGAAACACGGAGGGTGTAAGGTTATTTACCTGGAGTGAACATTCAGGGTGAAAGGTAGTATTGTGATTGTAGACCTTCTGTTTGTGATGCCATCTGGATGCCTCCCTGGGGAGGTGTTCTGGTCATAGCCCACCAGGAGGATAATAGGGGAAGACCCAGAACACGGGACTAACCCAAGTTAACAATGGGGTAACAATAATTCAATGTATTATTCTTTAACTATTAAAACATGTTTCTAATTTTCTTTTGATTGGTAAATGATTTATGTATTTATTGGACATTTATTATTTTGGTCATACCAAAAATGTGATGCATTCTTTTGCAAATTACTTGTATTCATATCTATATACAGTGCCTTGCGAAAGTAATTGGCCCCCTTGAACCTTTCAACATTTCAGGCTTCAAACATAAAGATATGAAAATTTAATTTTTTGTCAAGAATCAACAAGTGGGACACAATCGTGAAGTGGAACAAAATTTGTTGGATAATTTAAACTTTTTTAACAAATAAAAAACTGAAAAGTGGGGCGTGCAATATTATTCGGCCCCCTTGCGCTAATACTTTGTAGCGCCACCTTTTGCTGCAATTACAGCTGCAAGTCGCTTGGGGTATGTCTCTATCAGTTTTGCACATCGAGAGACTGGAATTCTTGCCCATTCTTCCTTGCAAAACAGCTCGAGCTCTGTGAGGTTGGATGGAGAGCGTTTGTGAACAGCAGTCTTCAGCTCTTTCCACAGATTCTGGATTGGATTCAGGTCTGGACTTTGACTTGGCCATTCTAACACCTGGATACGTCTATTTGTGAACCATTCCATTGTAGATTTGGCTTTCTGTTTTGGATCATTGTCCTGTTGGAAGATAAATCTCTGTCCCAGTCTCAGGTCTTTTGCAGACTCCAACAGGTTTTCTTCTAGAATGGTCCTGTATTTGGCTCCATCCATCTTCCCATCAATATTAGCCATCTTCCCTGTCCCTGCTGAAGAAAAGCAGGCCCAAACCATGATGCTGCCACCACCATGTTTAACAGTGGGGATGGTGTGTTCAGGGTGATGAGCTGTGTTGCTTTTACGCCAAACATATCGTTTTGCATTGTGGCCAAAAAGTTCGATTTTGGTTTCATCTGACCAGAGCACCTTCTTCTACATGTTTGGTGTGTCTCCCAGGTGCTTGTGGCAAACTTTAAACGAGACTTTTTATGGATATCTTTGAGAAATGGCTTTCTTCTTGCCACTCTTCCATAAAGGCCAGATTTGTGCAGTGCACGACTGATTGTTGTCCTATGGACAGACTCTCCCACCTCAGCTGTAGTTATCTGCAGTTCATCCAGATTGATCATGGGCCTCTTGGCTGCATCTCTGATCAGTCTTCTCCTTGTTTGAGATGAAAGTTTGGAGGGACGGCCGGGTCTTGGTAGATTTTCAGTGGTCTGATACTCCTTCCATTTCAATATAATTGCTTGCACAGTGCTCCTTGAGATGTTTAAAGCTTGGGAAATCTTTTTGTATCTTCTTTAAATCTTTAAACTTCTCCACAACAGTATCTCGGACCTGCCTGGTGTGTTCCTTTGTCTTCATGGTTCTCTCTGCGCTTTAAACAGAACCCTGAGACTATCAAAGAGCAGGTGCATTTATACGGAGACTTGATTACACACAGGTGCATTCTATTTATCATCATCAGTCATTTAGGACAACATTGGATCATTCAAAGATCCTCACTGAACTTCTGGAGTGAGTTTGCTGCACTGTAATCTTTATTTATATATACCGCCTTTTCACTGCAGATCTGAGTCTCAAAGCGGTTTACAATTGTTAATTTTTGGGCATTTGTCTCTCACTCCACACAGAGATGGGAGTGGGGTCACCAGTACAGGAGGCGCATGCCAGAACTATTGGACATATTTTTAGTGGTAGGGGAAACCGGAGTACCCGGAGGAAACCTACGCAGACACGGGGAGAACATGCAAACTCCACTCAGAAAGGCCCTGAACCGACCGGGATTCGAACCCAGGACCTTCTTGCTGAGAGGCGAGAGTGCTATCCACTCAGCCACCGTGCCGCCCGCAGTAAAGCTCTGAAAGTAAAGAGGCCGAATAATATTGCACGCCCCACTTTTTAGTTCATTGGTTAAATTGTTTCAAATTATCCAATGAATTTCGTTCCACTTCACAATTGTGTCCCACTTGTTGTTGATTCATGACAAAAAATTAAAATTTTATTTCTTTATGTTTGAAGCCTGAAATGTGGCGAAATGTTGAAAGGTTCAAGGGGGCCGAATACTTACGCAAGGCACTGTATATCAGTGTTATTTTCTAGACCAGTGTCTCCCAAAGTGGGGTCCGCAGGGTACTGCAGGGGGGCCGCGGGAGGTCATAAAAAAAATAATATAATTATTTAATGTTAAATTTATAATGTTTTGTTTGTAATATTAAAATATTTGTGTTCATTATTTGACTTGAATAATCCACTGTAATCATTTTTGTATTACAATGTTTGTAGCAGAGGCTACTTCCCCAAAATAAAATAACCAGAAGAGCCTATTCTTAATGTTGTCTTCTTGGTTATTATTTTGGGGGGCCACGCAGACCCGTCAGATTTTTAAGGGGGCCTCGGTGTTACTGAGTTTGGGAATGGCTGTTCTAGACAATTAACATTAACAAAAACTCACTCCAGACTTTACACAGAAAGAATCCAGGATCAGAACAGTAAATGTTTAGTTTCCAATAGGGGTGGGAACCTATGGGTACCTCACGATACGATACAATACGACACAATACGAAGCTCATGATAACGATATAATCACGATATGACGATTATTGATATATTGGTCAGAAATATACAATATGCCAGTTTATGGCATAAATAAAAGAAAAAATACACTTTATTTCCTGATAAATGGAATGGAGATGCGTAATGTTGCCATATATTAAGTATTAATACCAATTTAAAAAAATAATTTGTAAAAAAGAAAAAAAAAAAAAAATCTATTATTATTATTATTATTCAAAATTTGTATCGATACTTGGCAAATGCATATTGATCATCGAATCGCGGGAGAAAGTATCGCGATATATTGATATATCGTCACACCCCAAGTTTCCAAAGATAAGCACTTCATCTTGGGTTCATGACAAGGCTCCCACAGTTTTCTTCTTGTAAATTCTCATCATCATATTGTGTTGTGTCCTCTTTCTGTTCCCAGGGACAAGGACAAAGTGGACAAAGTGGTGACGTCTTTAGGGGTGAAGATACAAACCCGAGACTCGAGGAACTCTGACCCCAAAGTGCTTCTGTCGGCCATCTGCACCCAGTGGTTACCGCTGTCCCAGGCAGTGCTCGGTATCCTCCCTCTGCTGTGATACTCAAATGAATAACAGCAGATCTAACCCTAACCCTAAACATTCACCAGTTTAAAGGTGCAGTAAGCGATTTTATTAGCTTAGTGCTAGTACCAACTCGAAACCAATCCCCCCTCCCCTCGCCTCTCCACCAAACCAAACATCCAGCATTTTATTTGTCACAACAAGGAGAGTGGGTGGAAAATGTGAAATTAGCATTTCATCTTCAGTCATTATAGGTTTTAGAAAATCCAATAACTCAGGCGCGCGCAGTCACGATAAACACGATAACACATCCCATTGGTTCGTTGGGGATGAACGAATCCCATTGGTTTATTTTTATCGGTCCGCTCCAAAATATTTTGTATTAATTTTTGGAGACTATAGGCATCTGGTCAATTCTAATACTATTTGAAAACACATGATCCCTTGACTACTTTTAGGGTTTAGGAACGTTTTCCCACAATATTTTAAAAAATGCGTCTTGAAAAAATCACTGACTGCATCTTTAAGTTTTGTTATCAGGTTTAATTTATGCACCTGGGCTTTCTCTATAGCAACACAAAGCCCAGGTGGAACTGCCCTGACATTTAGATTAAAAGCACAGTTAAAGGAGCTATACCTGTTTCTGCAAGGTTTTTTTTCAGTTTGAATGTTTAGCACCGCCCCCCAACTCGCTCACAGGTTTCTCATTTCCCCTTCGCTCTCATCCCACGAAGCCTCACTGTTGCGTCGTTTGGGCTGTTTTGTTGTGTCTGCAGTTACAGCAAGAGGAGTTATAGCCAATTCTGCTAACATGTCACTGTGTTTACCAGCGTTGTAGAGGCTAGAGGACGCCGCCTGTTCGTAACAATGCCGCTCCTCGTTCTGTCTGTGGAGGAGAATCAATCTGAATCAATGAGCTCAAGTTTTCAATTAAATTACGGATTTTAATTAGGGCTGTCAAAATTATCGCGTTAACCCACGTTAATTCAATTTTTCATTAATCGCGTAATAAATAAAATAACGCATTAACGCATGTCCGAATAACCTGCCCATGTATCCCATAATATCACTCAGAATGCCGCGGACATATGCATGTGTGAGATCACGACAGAGCAGGTAGGCCTTCTGGGAATTCAAGTTTTAAAAGAATACGTGCATGACTGCGGCGCACTTGCCGTTGTTTGCTGTATGAAATGAAGTCTGCATCCTCCGTGGGAGCTAATAACAACACTGTGAATGGTGCTGCGGTAACGTGATCCAAGACCATTCACGCACAGAACTATTCTCTGCATGTTGTGTGAGTGTCTTTGCGTATCTTGTGCGTAACTATGCAGCCATAAATACTCATATACTGAAGCTGAACTATGTAGCCTCAGGAAGTGTCTGTGTCTCCTCCTGTCTTCTCCTGAAACGCAACTAAACTCGCCAAATTAAAGCTGAAGTACGTACATTTTGCCTTTCATTAACAGCTCGTATTGGTTGTGCCCAGAAGTAAAAGGTTGTGAGCAAAGCAAGCAGATTAAAATACATTTGGTATGAATGACTGTGTATTTGATAATCTCATTTAACTTTAATTGGAGTGGATTTGAAATAGAATGGCAAGAATGCGATTAATTGTGAGTTAACTCACCATAGCTATGCAATTCATCAACTAAAAGATTTTAGTTGTTTGACAGCCCTAATTTGAATACAACTTGTATGTAGTAATACGCATTTTTATGAACTCATTCGAAAAGAAATCGGGTATAGCTTCTTTAATATTGTACTTATGAATAGAATAATGGAAAATCGACCAAGCCCTCTTACAGATAATTTAGTGTTATATCAAAATGGGTAATCAGCCTTGGTTGGTTGGTACTGTGAAAATACTGTTAGCTTGAGGCCATAGTTTGTGGTTCTCCTTGATCCTTGAGCAGACATGGTGTGTGAGAGGTTGCCCAGTCCCCTGGAGGTGTCATCGGAGAGGGTGGAGAGGCTGATGAGTGTGGGAGCGCGCAGGTTTGACTCTTTACCGGAGCAGACTCAGCAGCTCAAAGAAGGTATGGACCTAAACACAGAGAAGGACACACAACAGAGAAGGCCGGGGCAGACATCTTGGAGACCCATCTTGGCACCTGGTGTTCCTAGAGGTCTCCCATCACAGTACTAACCAGACTGGTTGGGTTCTGCCTTTCACATGACATCTAAAACAGGTGTCTCCAACCTTTTTTGATTAGAGACCTTCTTTTATAAAACAGAAATGGCCTGCACTGCAAAAACATTGTGTTGCACTTTGGGTGACCTGGGTCAGTGTAAAGCGCTATGTGAATATGACTTACTCACTTAAGCAGTTGAGATAAAATTGTAATTTTCTATAAAAACTACAACATGCATGCATAAAATACTATTATAAAGCACAGTATGCCTACATTAATGGAAAAGCTTCTTTGATAATCAACCCCTAAAAAGTGTATCTAAAATATAGATAAAGACAACATTATATTCTTGTGTTTCTTCTCAGAGAGAGTGAGTCAGAGCATTGCAGTCAGTGGGAGATCAAATCCACTAATGAGACAATTAGGGACGACATCAAAGACACCAGTGAAGACATGAACAGTTATTTAGCTCAGAGAGAAACGTTTAAACCTGTGTAGGAATGATACAACTACAGGCACTGAGGCACTTCAGACCCACCAAAGGATTTATCATCACTGTCATATGACCCACCTGCATCAACAAGGAATCACTCATAACCACATATCAATCAATCAATCAATTAATCAATCTTTTTATTTCGAACTTTGTTGTCAATCCATCGTCATGGCAGTTCCTAATACATAAAAAAAAGCTTATTTGTAAACTCTGTACTTCTATTCTCGTTCGAAAACAAATAACAAAACAATAATAACAAAAAAATACAAAAAAAATTACAACAAGAAAGTTCGAAAGGGAGTGGAAAGAAGTAACCACTTTTTAAATCCCACCCCCAGTGCATAAATGTTTGGTGGTTGCTTAATGTGCAGTAAATAAACCCTTGTTATCATCATATCATTATATTTACAATTCTAGTAACTCATAGATTACAATTCAGTAACTTATACTCAGTTTTTCATGCACGGACATAGGGAAAAAGGTGAGAAATCTCGGGGAGGCCCATATTGAGAGAGGGATCTGGCTCCAAGACTGAGGCTGTAGATCAAGAAGTGAGCCTGTAGATCCAGGACTGAGGCTTTAGATCTAGGACTGAGGCAGTAATTCAGGATAAGCAATGCATCTGAAATAATTCTGTATTGTTTCTGAATCTTCGATCGAGTGAAAAGCCCAAAGTTAATGTCCGTTATTGTTTTGCATCTCCTTGTTCTTTCAGTTTTGCTCGTACACATCTGAACTCTGACCTCTCCTGTTTTTGTGCCAGCGTTTTTGCGGTGCTCCAGTGACGATGGCGCTCCGGTCATTGTGTTTGTATCCAAAATGTTTACCGCGGACCGCAAGGCCCTGCCCCACAACCGGCAGAGGTGAGTCAACCTTTGCTCTTGAATCACCGGTCGGATGATTAGAGCACAAGAACACTCTATTCCATGTCTTTGTGTTTAGCCTGAACATTGAGCCAATTATAGACATCACTCATGATGGTTGTCTGTTGAAACTGGGAAAGTTGGACATGGCTGAGCTTTAGGCAAACAGACGCCAGGCTATACATTCTCTTCTATTCTAAATTTCCCCACTGTAGGACACATATAGAATCTATTAATCTCTTAATTCTACTACATTCAGCTCTAATCTAGTCTAGTCTACTCTAATCTTCTCTCCAATAATTGGGAGTCTTTCCACTGGTTAACCAGTAACAGGTCCTTCTTATGTCCCTTTTGGCCCTGGTTCTGTCCAAGCCGGGCTGGCACTAAAGTTTTCAGATGGACAGTGATTGGCCACAGTGCTGCTGGAAGCCATGGTAACCACAAAATTTCCCCGGATACTGGTTTGTTGTAGGAAGAGTAGAAGAGAATAGAGTAGACTGGAATATCATCTTATTTGCAGTCACTCATGGCAATATTAAACCTGGACTACTTCAGAACATTATATATATCTTTTTGAGCTATTCCTTTACCTTAAGACCTTAAATCCCCTGATTAATATCCCCTGATGATAGACTTTGACGGTTGGTGTTTGGAGAAACTTCCCAGTATTCTGACGTCTTCTTATCGGAGCTTGGAGACAAAGCTCTCTGTGCTGAAGCCGTTTCCATTAAGTCTGAGGACAGGACTGTTATTTTTATCCCAGCGTCTGATCTCACTATTACTTTTCTGCGTGATCACTGGGCCCTCAAATCCCATTACTGCAGCTCCTGAGCAGTAGAGGACGCTCCCGAAAGGTGATGTCACACTTCAGATTTCTGGGAGAATTATGTTTAAGGACACATTGTGCTGAGTTCACTTAGTAAATATCAGAAAACTGTTCTCTTGGTGTGTTTCCTCTTTACACTGCTTCACAGACAGTACACTGTTTCAAATCTGTCCAAACAGACCTCACTTGCTGTTCTTTCTCCAAGACATGGACCAAGATAACCTGGTCGTACCACACCATAGTGCAAATCACATTTCGTACTAAGGTCTGGAGGCGCTCCATTGAGCTCCGTTTACAGGTGGGACGGGTTAACTCCTTTTGCAGATAGAAACCATTGGATCTGAGTTTACCATGACGTATGTAATCTCCGTTGTAATCTCCGTTGCTGCTAGCGCAGCCCGTGGGGAGTAGCGCCACATTTTTTTCTAGCGATTACATTTGCTAAACATTCCTATTGCTCTGGCTTCAATTTCTTGATAGAACCAGACCGGATTGCTTTACTATCGCATTTTTCGCCATTGCCAAACTACGACCTTCCCGTTCGACGCAAACTCTAAACGTCACCCACAACTAAATACTACACCTGCCTTCCGCACTCGCGGGTTGGTCGGTCAAAATTCTACCGATTGTAATCTCTAACCCAGGGACCAGACCCAGACGTTACATGCAGTGAAATGATGATTGAGCGGAGTGTACGGATGGCTAAGGCCAGGCTAGGACCAAGACAGAACAGCATCAGAATGTCTCATGTTCAGTTATTGGCCCTATTTGTTTTATTATTTGTTTTATAAATGCTTATTTGATTTCAACCCCATCACACACACAGACACGTTTCTGTTTTCTTATTTTCTGAGAATTAACTTTTCTTTATTTAGCTCCTATGTGGATGTTATTATTGCATTCCTGTGTTTGAACAGTTTGATTCTCTGATCTGTTGGTGGCTAACTAAATAAGTTTGGGAACCCCTGCATTAATGTCACGTCAAGTTGCATTATCTGCTAGAGACAGTAATGTGGTATTTAAGATAAGGGTGATATCATTAGTTTAACAGAGTGCCCTTACCCTGGAGACATGAGCCAGATAATATAATGACATTGGTAGAGGTGTGTTACCCTGGCAACCACTATTCAAACGTTGGTGAAAGCTCAATTTACAGTATAATTCTCAGTTAAGAGTGTGTCTCTGATCTGAAGGTTGGTGGTTCAAATCCTGCTCCAGACACAAAAATAATTTGTTGAGTGATCCCACAGGTTAGCAGGCGTGAAACCAGCGCTCAGTGGTGCTGTGTGTCCTGCCCCATCCCCAGTGAGTGTGTGGATTGGCACAATGTTTAGTACAGTTTATGTTCCCCTTTGAATGTTGAGTGTTTCTTTTGCATCCATTGATTTGTTTTATATTACATTTTGTGCTGAATAATTCGGTCTCCACTGTGTATATTTTTATTTTTATTTTATCTTTGTTTCTGAATTAAAAATGATATTTTTTAGTACAGACTTGATCTGTTTTTGCAAATGATCTCTTCATGTATTCGAAAGGAATGAAGACCGCATGACCCTTTTTGTTGTGAGAATCTACACTGATTATGAGGAAGAAAACAAGTTAGGTACCCCAGGTTTAAGTGAAAGTTGAGTGCTGAGTGCAGATCTTGTAAACCCAGGGTGAACCCAAAACTCTCATCTCGAGCTCCGCAGCCTGACAGATGAGTTGGTCTGGCCTGGGACAACCCTCCCGTCTCACACCGGGCCCAGAGTGCATTCTATCACAGCCGAGTCTCTCCTTCCCTCCTCCTACACGGCTCCTTTCATCCAGAGATATCGTGGCTCCTCCTACTTGCGGGGGTTTACCAAGCTCCTCCTCCAGACGAGTGGGAAAGTCTCGCTCTGAGTTAGATTCAGGGTCTTCTGAGGTAGAGAGATCATTGCAGTTCTGGGGTTAGGAATAGGGAGGCGAATTACATGCAATCTGTAGAGTTTTTAACAGGTTTACTAATGTCATGATAATATATATATATATATATATATATATATATATATATATATATATATATATATATATATATATATTTTTTTTTTTTTTTTTTTTTTTTCAAATCATACTCAAATTCAGACTTTGATTTTATGACTCTAACTGAAATTACTGCAGAATGAAACATACATGTGTAAATTTGACCATTTCAGAAAAAACAACTAATTTTGTTCCAACTCGTGTTCATGAATAGATTATCAGATTATTGTTTATTGACCTTCATTAAAACAAGGAAGATTTCTGAATCCTTTTTCAGATGAGTCCTAACCCCAGAGGACCGTATTCCAATGTGGTTATACTGAAAATGGCAAATAAAATGAATCTGAATCTGGTAGAGAGGTGAGATGTGTTTTGTGGTTTGGCAAACCGTAGCACGCAGAAGGAACCTACTCAAAACTTAACTCAGAAAGGCCCTGTCTGAAAATGGAATCAAACCCTTTTGCTGCCGCCCAAGATATCTTTTGATGTGAAAGCAAAATTAATTCAACATGACCCACAAGTCTGCTGAGATACAATAAACTCACATTTCCAGAAAGACTGTTACAGCTTTCTGGGGGGCGACAGTAGCTCAGTTGGTAGAGCATTGGCCTTTAGGCCTGGAGGTCGTGGGTTCAATTCCCACCCCAACACCCTCTCCACCGACTCCCACTGATGACTGCTGTCGTTGTGTCCTTGGGCAAGACACACCCTAATTGCCCAAAGCCCACACTGAAAGATCAAGGCTATGCTCACACTTACGGAGCAGCCGTCCTCCTGTGGACTCACCACCTGCAGAGGGTCAGTGAGGGGCTGGTGCTATGAGACTTGGGTGGCATCTCTGACTGCCACCCCCCTGACCCAGAAATGGATTAAGGGGTAGATGATGGATGGATGATGGATGGCTGTTACAGATTTTAGTGACCTTAGAAGGCTTGTGACCAATACACTAAGCTCTGGCTCATGACAGAACAGCATTATAATAACAGTAAATTAGTGTTATACTTGTAGTAACACCATTAGTTTTACCATTTTTTTTGTGTATTCAAAAGTATTAATTTGTTTTCCACCCATTGTATGTTGACATGTGGAAGCTTTGGCTTGTCAGGCATTAGTCTTCAGTTGCAGTACGCAACATCACCACAAGTCGGTGCTCTTTTCCTGTTTCTCTCTGGCTGGTAGAACATCCTCTGTGAATGGAGATTTCCTTTCCTCTCCTAAACCCGTGTGTCTGCTTACAGTCTCCTTTCCCTGAGACAGCTCTGTGGCCTAATTGCTCGGCTTGTGTGGGGCAGAGACAGGCTGTCAGCTTTTGGCCCAGCCACGGAGCATCTGTGTATGAAACAGAACGAGAAGAAGGAAGCGAGATAAGGTGAGCAGCAGCAGGGAGCCAAGAGGAGCTCCTTGTCCAGAATCAGTGATAATGAGCAGAGCTGGTACCTGCTGGGTTGTGTACCTGACTCGGGGTCAGAGGTCACAGCCTCAGTGGTCGTACAGTTTACCAGAGTGACCCAACCTCCAGGGAGCAGCAAACCACACCATGCACCTATGCTCCAGTTACTGTATTTAAAAACAAATATATGTTTATTTGCATAGCACAGTTAATATACAAGGAAACTCAAAGGGCTGAAGAAAAGAAACAAGAAAAGAATCATAAATCATCACAGTTCATTAAAAAAAGAGTGAAGATACAATCCTTCAGTTGTTGCTGTTTTTAACCTGTATTTGAACATTGTCAGAGTATAAACCTGCCTCATATTTCCAGGAAGACTGTGCCCTTTGTTTAGTCCTGACTCTGGGCAGCAGCAGGAGGCCAGTCCCTGTGCTCCTCAGAGTCTGAGCAAGGAGGCCATGACCAGAGCTTGAAGATTTTAGTGTTAGGGGAAACCAGAGCACCTGGAGAAAACACACGCAGACATAGGGAGAACATGCAAACTCCACTCAGAGTGGAGTTAAACAGTGTAGATGTGTCTCAGTCCTCACATATTTTCCTCTGCGCGTGTATTTTACGTAAATGTCAAAAACTGTTATTCATTCAGTCACTGTTTCTGTGGCTTTGGATCCGAAGAAAAGGAAAACATCAGAGATCCGTGAAGTGGACGGCTTTAATAACAAAAAATGTAGAATTTTCCACTTTTTATTCCTGGCTTTTATTTTTTCCCTTTTGGTGTAT